TAAGAATTTGGTCGACTGGAATAATATAATTGGCCTAAAATGGGAGTCAAAGTCGGCAAAATTGCTGATTCATAAATATCGCTGACACATCAAAATTCGAGAGTATAATTTCGTAAATTTTTCCACCAAATTTCGTACTTTTTGTTTTATTACCTTCACAAAAAGATTCTCTACCATTTCATAAGAAAAAATATTTTTTTTTTTTTTTTGGAAAATTCTTGGACACTGGGACACCACTTTCAGATTTTGGCCTTGGACCCTGAAAGGGTTAATTAAATTTTTTTTTTTTTTCATGAAATATACATTTCCCTACAAAGAAAACAATGAGACATGCACAATAACTATATAAATAAATGTTAAAATGACACTTACCTTTATTGAAGAATATTGATAAGTGATGAGACACTTTTTCTTGAACACACTGGGATTTTCAGAGTGATACATGAGTAAAGGCTTCACTTTGCAGTCCCCACTAGCATTACAACAAAACATGAGAGTTAGCCTGTCTTTCATAGGCTTGTGTCCTGGAAGTGCCTTTTCCTCCTGAGTAATGTAGGTCCTGTTTGGCATTTTCTTCCAGAACAGGACTGTTTTGTCACAATTGAACACTTGTTGGTGTTGGAATTTTTCAGCTTCGCCATGCCATATCACACTATGTATGCCACTATGATTCTTAAATCTCTCAAACCAACCTTTGCTGGCCTTAAATTCACCAATATGAGCACTAGTTCCAGGCATTTTTTCCTGTTCACCTGGTTGTTAGTCAAATGGTGTGGGTCGCATCCTGGGAGACAAGATTAAGGACCCCAATGGAAATAAGTTAGACAGTGCTTGATGACTCACTGACTTTCTTGGGTTATCCTGGGTGGCTAACCCTCTGGGGTTAATTGTTTCTCGGTAATTGTTTCTCGTTAAGCCACACCAACACAATCTCTCCACATCTTTGAGTAGTACAGCTGACGGTGGTGCAGCAACAGCTGACAGTGGTGCAGCAGCAGCTGACTGTGGTACAATAATATTTTGATAGTATTTCTCACCCTTTTTACCACAGGATTGGCACTAGAAGCTTTCTTTGGACCCATGGTGGCTTATTTAGCAGTTACAAGCACTGTAAGCAATGGAATAATACAAAATGTATCGAATATATGCATGAAACCGGCCACCCTAGCTTGTAAACAATGATGGCAGGGCAGCTGAGGCGCTCAGGCTGGACGGACAGGTTTGGGATGAATCACGTTGGGCGAGTTTTTTATCGTTAGGTGGGCCAAAATTTTTACGCTCAAATGCTTCGTTAGTCGGATTTAATGTTATGCAATGCGTTCGCTAGCCAAGGGTCCACTGTACCTATTTACAAGGCAGGTGACAGGTCCTTAGCTTCGAAGTATAGACCAGTAAGCCTTACCTCTATAGTGGTAAAATTTATGGAATCAGTAGTTGCCGAGGCAATTCATAGCCATCTTGAAAGGCATAAATTGATTAATGAATTTCAACATGGTTTTACAAAGGGGCGTTCCTGTCTTATGAATTTACTAACTTTTTTCGCTAAGGTATTTGAGGAGGTAGATCATGGTATTGAATATGATATTGTGTATATGGACTTCAGTAAGGCTTTCAATAGAGTTCCACATCAGAGGCTATTAAGGAAACTTAAGACACACGGAATAGGTGGAGAAATTTTTTCCTAGGTAGAGGCATGATTGACAGATATGCAGCAGAGAGTTTGCATAAATGAAGAGAAATCAGAATGGGGGCACGTCACAAGCGGTGTTCCACAGGGGTCTGTGTTGGGCCCATTGTTGTTCACAATTTACATAAACGACATAGATGACGGAATAAATAGCTACATGAGCAAATTTGCTGATGACCCCAAAATAGGCTGTCCAATTCATTCTAATGAGGACATTAGAGCACTCCAGGATGATATGAATAGACTGATGCAATGGTCAGAGAAGTGGCAGATGCAGTTTAATATAGACAAATGCAAAGTTCTAAATGTTGGAAAGGATAATAACCATGCCACATATAAACTAAATAATGTAGATCTTAATATTACTGATTGCAAAAAGGATTTAGAAGTTCTGGTAAGCAGTAACCTGAAACCAAGACAGCAGTGCATAAGCGTTCACAATAAAGCTAACAGAATCCTTGGCTTCATATCAAGAAGCATAAATAATAGAAATCCTCTGGTTGTTCTTCAACTCTATATATCCTTGGTTAGGCCTCATTTAGATTATGCTACACAGTTCTGGTCACCTATATACAGAGTGGATATAAATACACTGGGAAACATATAGAGGAGGATGACAAAGTTGATCCCATGTATCAGAAATCTTCCCTATGAGGATAGGCTGAGGGCCCTGAATCTGCACTCTCTAGAAAGGCGTAGAATTAGGGGGATATGATTGAGGTGTATAAATGGAAAACAGGAATAAATAAAGAGGATGTAAATAGCGTGCTAAAAATATCTAGCCTAAGACAGGACTCGCAGCAATGGATTTAAGCTTGAAAAATTCAGATTCAAGAAGGATATTACCAAAGCTCTATTACCAAAGCACTATTACCAAAGCACTATTACTCTATTACCAAAGCACTGCTTTGGTAATAGAGTTGTGGATGAGTGGAACAAACTCCCGAGTACTGTTATAGAAGCTAAGACGTTGTGCAGTTTTAAAAATAGGTTAGATAAATACATGAGTGGGTGTGGGTGAGTGTGAGTTGGACCTTGCTAGCTGGTGCTACTGGGTCAGAAGCTGTGCTCTTTCCTTAACCCTTTCAGGGTCGGCAACCCTCAGGGTCGGAAATTTAAAAAAAAAAAAAAATAATTTTTTCTTATGAAATGATAGAGAATCTTTTCCAATCCTAATGACACCAAAAGTATGAAATTTGATGGAAAACTTGCAGAATTATGCTCTCACGAAGGTAGCGGTCTCGACAATGTTTACACATCGGCGATTTCCCCCCCCCCTTTGAGCCCTATTTTCGGCCAATTCCACTGTACCATTTGACAAAAATCATAACTATTTTGTTAGAACTCCATTTTTTCTATCGAATGAGCACAAGAAACCACCCATTTACCGATTTCAACTATCCAATAAAGTGGTTAGAATTTGCTATTTTTGCCAGTTTCACACAAATTTCAAAAGATGTTAATTTCCAAATAGGGTCCAGAATAAACAAGACAGACATTCCTGGCACTAAAATAACATTTCCTCTGTTCATTAGTCACGTCCCCAGGCTTCTGTTACATTTCTTTTGCTTTCCACTTTGAATTTTTATTCTCACAAAAAATAGAAGATTTACTGTTATGCAGACTACTGTATTAGTGTAGAAATGGTATAAATAATATCAGCGCACTTGTGAAAGAATATTAGACTCACCAGTTGACGTGTTACTTTTGAACGTTGGCAAAAATCGAACATTTCTGCTACTTTGAGCTCAATTATTGTGAAACCAATGAAAATCATCTCAATTTTCATAACATGTCTTCCATTCTATAAAATAAGACCAGGAAAACTAGAATCTCTTAAATAGTATACGAAAATGCACTACAAAGTCGCTGTTTTAAACCAAAAACACGGTTGGAGTTTTTTTCTCATTATGCACTGTGTGCTGTAGGATTTTTTTTATACTGTGCACACTGACCACATAGACCCATTCTTTCATATGCAGGCCTACCAGCTTTCTCTCGCTAGATTTGAAGGCGCTAGAATTTATGCATACTAGTATGGCACCAACCCTGGCGTACAAGCCATACTAGTACGGCACCAACCCTGAAAGGGTTAAGTGGAGGTGACCTGACTGGTTGGGCCATTGGTCTAAGCTGGGGGTTGACATGGACCTGCCCTGCATGGGCCAGTAGGCCTGCTGCGGTGTTCCTTATTTCTTATGTTATTATGTTAGTTTCACTCTCCTTGTGAGTTAGTGTCACCATCCTTGTGAGTTTCACCATCCTTGTGAGTTTCATCATCCTTGTGAGTTTCACCATCCCTGTGAGTTAGTGTCACCATCCTTGTGAGTTTCACCATCCTTGTGAGTTAGTTTCACCATCCTTGTTAGTGTCACCATCCTTGTGAGTTTCACCATCCTTGTGAGTTTCACCATCCTTGTGAGTTTCACCATCCTTGTGAGTTAGTGTCACCATCCTTGTGAGTTTGACCATCCTTGTGAGTTAGTGTCACCATTCTTGTGAGTTTCACCATCCTTGTGAGTTACTTTCACCATCCTTGCGAGTTAGCTTCACTGTCCTCGTGAGGTATTATATTGTGTCTAGCACAGTACATTGATCTTATTTTTATTTATTAGTTCCATTGCATTTTTTCTTTTTTCTTTTTGATTTTTATTTCTACATGTATTTGAATTTGTGAGTGTTTTATCTTTAAATTGAGCTATTTCTTATAATTTTATCATTTAAGTAACTATATATTAAGAATGTTAGTTGTGTGCTGATTTAAAATGTTATGAATGTTAATTACGTTCGATCTCACTTAATACAAGTTAGTTATGTTTGGTCTCAGTTAATACAAGTTTGTTATGTTCGGACTCAGTTAATACAAGCTAGTTATGTTCGGGCTCAATTAATACAAGTTAGTTATGTTCGGGCTCAATTAATACAAGTTAGTTATGTTCAGGCTCAGTTAATGCAAGCTGTGTTTATGAGTTTAGTTTTTAGGATGTTTATCTCACATGTTTTACACAAACATTGTAGTGATACTGACCTGTGTTTTACACAAACATTGTAATGATGCTGACCTGTGCTTTATACAAACATTGTAGTGATACTGACCTGTGTTTTACACAAACAATGTAATGATACTGACCTGTGTTTTACACAAACATTGTAGTGATACTGACCTGTGCTTTATACAAACATTGTAGTGATACTGACCTGTGTTTTACACAAACAATGTAATGATACTGACCTGTGTTTTACACAAACAATGTAGTGATACTGACCTGTGTTTTACACAAACAATGTAATGATACTGACCTGTGTTTTACAGGAAAATGTTGCCCAAAAAGAAGACCAAGAGGAGCGTATTGCTACGTTAGAGAAGAGATACCTTAATGCTCAGAGAGAGTCAACTTCTTTACATGACCTCAATGAAAAGTTAGAAGAAGAACTCAAAAATAAAGAAGCTCAGTATAAAGTAAGTTAATTTATAGTTGCTTTATGGAGTTTATTGCCTATTGAGTACACCAAGTCACCAAGGTTATTAGTTTTTTTGTATTCTCTACAACACAAGTCAAAGATATTTTAATGATTGGAATAGGGAGTAAATGAACTCTTAGTATGTATACAGTAAGTCATTCTTTTTGGTGTATGTTACTTTATTTAGTTTCCAACTGGTTATATCTTAATACAGTGGTCCCTCGTTTTTGGTATTTAATCCGTTCCTGGAGGTGCTACTATTATCGAAATCTACGATTTTCAAATCAATTTTCCCCATAAGAAATAATGTAAATACAATTAATCCGTTCCTGACACCCAGAGGTATCAACAACAATTTTTTTTTACCTTAAAGATAGATTTACATGCACAAAAGAATGAACATTCAACATGACAGTTACCTTTATTGAAGGCTGTTGTTGATGAATGGAAGACAGGGAGGAGGAGAGAGGGAAGAGAGGTTATTGTTATTAGACCATACCCCCGGCCGGGATTGAACCCGCGGTCATAGAGTCTCAAAACTCCAGCCCGTCGCGTTAGCCACTAGACCAGCTAGCGTGTCATTACGATTTCTTGAGTCATGTTGACGGCAGTGAAGGGACTTGAGCTAGAGTTCGTCACGGCCATGCTAGCTGGAGATTCGTCTGTAAAAACTTGCATTTGTGGTCACAGAGGTGCCTGTGCTAACTTTCCTATGGTGTAGAAATATACCTAGTTGGATGAATCTTATTGTGGCTAGCTGGTCTAGTGGCTAACGCGATGGGCTGGAGTTTTGAGACTCTATGACCACGGGTTCAGTCCCGGCCGGGGGTATGGTTTATTTGCAATCGTGTCATTACAGTTATTGTTATTAGGTTGGATAAATACATGAGTGAGAGGGGTTGGATTTGAGTCGGACTTGCACCTGAGCTTATTGCTTGGGTAGCATTTGTTCTGTTAGTGGGTTGGATTTGTGAAGGACCTGCCTAGTATGGGCCAGCAGGCCTGGTGCAGTGTTCCTACTTTCTTAAGTTCTTATGTTTTTATTTAACATCACACTTACCAGTAGGGTGATCGAGGCTAGGACCTTGGGTAGCTTTAAGAAGAGATTGGATAAATATATGAGTGGGAGGAGCTGAGTTTGAGTTGTATCATTGGGTATGGGAGTAAATTCTTGGGTAGCTTTGGGTAGAGGTCATTTTGATAAGGACCTGCCTTGTATGGGCCAGTAGACCTGCAGTGTTCTTCCATTCTTATGTTCTTAGTGGGAAGGATTGTAAAGGACCTGCCTAGTATGGGCCAACAGGCCTGCTGCAGTGTTCCTCCTTTCTTATGTTCTTATTGGAGACTTGTTTGTGTGAGGGAGGGATGGCAAGTTTATTGTTGGAGAATATGACAGTAATATCAACTCTACAGCTTATTTATCTATCACTATTCAACTAATATGACATAATAAACAATATTAATAACATAGAAATATGGAATATACTCTAGAATGAATAAAATAAGTCATTATATATGTCACGAGAGGTGTTGTGTTGTTGTTGGGTGTATAAGACCACTGAGAGTAAGCCATCCATAATGGTGGTGAAGCAGCAGCTGAGGCAGCGGTGTTTTCTGTAGCCCTATATAACTCCAACAACATTGGAGGAGTTGGCAGAATTGCTGAATCACTGAAGAAGACACCCTCTACCACCATCACTACCATCTTCTACCACTATTACAACTGCTACCACCATCACTACCACCTTCTACCACTATTACAACTGCTACCACCATCACTACCACCTTTTACCACTATTACAATGCTACCACCTTCTACCACTATTACAACTGCTACCACCATCACTACCACCCTCTACCACCATCAACCACTATCACAACTGCTTCCACTCTACCACCACCACCTTCATATTTTTCTACAAACTTTTTCTTAAATTATATGTGTTTCTCACATTCTTTACCAAAGGGCTGGCACTAGAAGCTTTCTTTGGAGCCATGGTGACTTATTTAGCAGTTGCAAACACTAAAACGAATGGAATATTATGAAATGTATCGTATGAACTCGTGGGATCATCCTCACTCACTGATAAACAATGGCATACTGGCTGGGAATGGAGTGTGAGGCAGCTTGGGGCTGTGTGTACCTGTCCCACACGAACTACTATTCGCGAGTCAATCTACAATTAGCGAGCCCATGTTTATATGAAAATATCGCTATGATTTCCAAAATCTACGACTCTCAAGCCCTACGATTATCGAGGGATCACTGTATCTGGTAATAGTACTGAAAAAATTCATTGCCTCTGCATCCTGATCTCAGACCAAACTTCATAAGTTGGAAAGGAAATATTAGAGGAATAAGAAAATGGTGCCTGATGCTAGTTCATTAAGATCTCTGGGTATATATGTTGCCTGCTCTACCAGTGGTAAATATCCTTCAGCAGGATAGTGATAACTCAAGTGGAGTGAGGATGTCTACTTATAACTCTACCTCTGGCCGCTCACAAACACGTTTAACTTTTTTAACCCTTTGAGGGTTGCCAGGCCCTCTCAGAGACTTGTTCTCAGGGTCGCCAAATTTAAAAAAAAAATAATATTTTTTCTCGTGAAAAGATAGAGAATCTTTTCCTGATCATAATGACACCAAAAGTATGAAATTTGATGGAAAACTTAAGGAATTATGCTCTTGTGAAGTTAGCTGTCTTGACAATGTTTATGCATCAGCGATTTTGCCCACTTTGAGCCCTATTTTCGGCCAATTCCAGTGTACTAGTCGACAAAAATCATAACTACTTCGCTAGAACTCTCTTTTTTCTTTCGAATGAGTACAAGAAACCACCCATTTACCAATTTCAACTATCCAATAAAGTGGTCAGAATTTAGCAATTTTGCTAATTTCACACAAATTTCAAAAGATGCCAATTTCAAAATAGGGTCCAGAATAAACAAGAAAGACATTCCTGGCACTGAAATAACATTTCCTCTGTTCAATAGTCACATCCCCATGCCTTTTTTACATTTCTTTTGCTTACCACTTTGAATTTTTATTCTCACAAAAAATAGAAGATTTACTGTTATGCAGACTACTGTATTAGTGTAGAAATGGTATAAATAATATCAGCGCACTTGTGAAAGAATATTAGACTCACCAGTTGACGTGTATTGGACGCATGGCATGATTTGTTTACTTTTGAACTTTGGCAAAAATCGAACATTTCTGCTACTTTGAGCTCAATTTCAAGGTACTTTTCATTGTAAAACCAGTCAAAATCATCTCAATTTCCGTAACATGTCTTCCATTCTATAAAATGAGACCAGGAAAACTAGAATACAACCATAAATACCATACAAAAATACAGTGCAAAGTTGCTGTTTTAAACCAAAAACACGGTCAAAGTTTTTTTTCTCATTACACACTGTGTGCTGCAGGATTTTTTTTATACTGTGCACACTGACCACATAGACCCATTCTTTCATATGTAGGCCTACCAGCTTTCTCTTGCTAGATTTGAGGGCGCTAGAATTTAGGCGTACTAGTGCGTCAAAAACCCTGGCTCGTAAGCCGTACTAGTACGGTCGAAACCCCGAAAGGGTTAATATCTCTTTATTGTCTATCATTCCTTGTTTATACTTCTCCACATTAATAACACTCTGAGCTAATCATTACTGATCTTAATGTCATATGTAAATTTTTCACATTAACCACTTGCCTCTGGCACAAAGTTGTTGTTTATTAAATATGTATTAGTGAGTTATTTAAGATCAAGACTTTTATGAGAAAGAAGAATAGCAGGTCAAATGAGGGAGGCAGAAAAAAAATAGTTGAAAAGAGTTGAAGAGAGTACAAGGGAATACAGAGAGTATTGTATATAGGAAGAGAGTGCAGTAGTAGGAAGTAAGAGAAAGATAGTGTAACTTTAATGAGTCACATAGGGAGGATCTACACTTACAAACAAGTTAAACACATCTGCATTCACGAACAAGGAACTTATTATCTGTTTAACCCTTTCACTATCAGTCCTGTAATATTACAGCTTTCAAGCCATTGTTGGTCCCGTAATAGTAAGCCAAAATTCTAGCGGCTTCCAGTCTTGTGGGAGAAAGATGGTAGGCCTACATATGAGAGAATGGGTCTGAGTGGTCAGTGTGCACAGTAAAAAAAAATCCTGCTGCACATAGTGCATAATGAGAAAAAAACTCCAACTGTTTTTTGTTTAAAACAGCAACTTTGCAGAGTTGTATTCTCGTTTTCTTGGTCTCATTTGATAGAATTGAAGATACATTACAGAACTAGAGATGATTTTGAATGGTTTATGGACTAAAAGTACAGTGGTACCCCGAGTTTTGAACTTAATCCATTCCAGGAGCTAGTTCTAAAGTCAAAATGTTTGAAACTTGAAACAGTATTTCCCATAAGAAATAATGTAAATCCAATTAATATGTTCCTGCTGTCAGGAGGCATGACAAAACAGTACTTCAGTATGACACTATTATCAACTCTATGGCTTATTTATATATCACAATTCATCTAATATGACATAATAAACAGTATAAGTACAGTAGGGCCCCACTTATACGGCAGGTTAGGTTCCAGGCTACCTTCGTAAAGCAGAAATCGCATGTAAATTACTAGATAACAAATTTACATTAACATATATTAAGTTAGCAATAGAACTAGGCATTAAAAAACAATAAAAAGTAAAATACACATATAGTACACTCATTACTTACCTTAAAATATTTGTAGTCTTAATCTAGGGTGAAATGAGTAGTATTTATTGTAAGAATCAAGTGTGGTATGTATGGCAGCCAGCCAGGCTACCATACCAGGCCAACCCACCCACACAATATTCTATGACATTTAAGCATCCCAGAGCGATAAAATGCATATTCAGTTCACTCATTACATATTTTTATTATTATTTTTTATTATCACACTGGCCGATTCCCACCAAGGCAGGGTGGCCCGAAAAAGAAAAACTTTCACCATCATTCACT